CCCCACAGCAGGGAAGCACAGCTTTCCTCTGCCAGACACAACTGCAAACACCAAGGACAGCTGAGATTCCTGCCCAGCCCAGACAGCACAACCCAGGAAGAATCTTTTTACACCAACTTAGAAACGCGTTTTTTTAAGCTTACCTGTGTTTGTCCATAACTTTGATTGCCCTGGTTGCCATAGGATGAATAGCTGCAAGAGAAAAAATGCAGTTAGAAAATATTTATAGCGCCGTCCATGTCGGCTGGAAAGCGTTTTGGGTGCTGTTGTGAAAATCCTCCAGTTGTAGGCATGTTAGAAACACGTCAATAAACGAATGGTTACCATGGTCAGATGGCAGAGCCATAAGAGCTTATTTTAATGTCTGCTCTGTTTCAAGTGTGAATTTAAAGCACATGGGCTCATTGCTGTTTGATGAACTACCAAGAAACTCAGATAAATGCAGTGTTATCCATGGATTTTACACTTTTGTTTTGCTGATTAAAGTACACCACGTACCCCAAACATACAGTTTTTAAATCATAAAACTATTAACAGTTTTCCCAGGTTTTTTTGCCTTTTAAAAAAATCCCTATTCTGGGAAAACCAAACAGTTCTATGGCCATCACCTGCGTGTCTATGAACTTTGATTAACATTTCAGGGAACAGCTTAAGGCAGTCTTATGAAAAACGTATCTCTATATTTGAGACATTTCAGATTACATCTCCTTATTGTCTTCCCTGGGTGAATATCAGCTTTTTGTCCTGTTTTTAAAGACTTCTTAATGAAGGCCCACGGCTCCATGGCTTCCTGCAACTGCAGGGTGCAGAACGTATCAACACTATGTAGTGTTGAAGCAAAGATTGCAGAATCTTGCTGGGAATCCCAAATGGCCTTTTATTTTGCATATTTATTTGCTAACAGGAAAAAAAAAAAGAAAAACAAGAAAAAAAAAATCCATACCTCTGCTGGCCTCCAGACTGACCGTAACTTCCAGAATCTAGAAAAGAAGGAAGTCATATTGAGAATTGCTAATGGGTGTCTTGTTCCTCTCGACCTGATATCAAAGGCAGAAGTCTGGGGAGAGGGAGGAAGGTGCAGTGAACAGGGGGGCCACTCTCCCAGTAGAACCAGGCAGCTCCTTCCTCATCCTCAGACAAGAGGCCAGGCACACACAAGCACAGCATGTGGAGGACACCTGGCTTCACTTTTGGAAGTGCCTGGTTCCATCTTCACCTTAACAGCCAGGACTGTACAACCCTTGCTAATGGCTATCGAGTGCAGTGCCATCATCAACGAACAGAAAGCAGCTGCTTAATTAATCCAGCAAAGCTAAGGAGGTCGGAGCTACTGAACCCCACTTTAAGGTACCACACAAAGCAAGGAGGTGAAACTTGGAGATGTAAATCAGGGATGAAGAAGCGCAATAGTTCCCTTATTGATGGCTCCAACCACGCGAGAACAAATCCATTATACAAGCTGCCCAGATAAGTTTAATGAAGATTATTTCCCAGTAATGGGAAACATCAGTTATCGTGGAAATCGACTCTTGAAGGACAATTACATTGGATGGGTATTTCAGAATACAACTTCAAGGAAAACAAACAAAACAAAAAAGGAAAATTACACCATCAACAGCATCACTGAAATTGTTTGACTTGTATTAAAGCAGAGCATCTAGTTTATAAAAGCTATGAGTGCTACAACAAGGCTTACTAACTCTAAGAAACCCTACTAAGCTGGAATTCAGTGCTTAAACAGGATGTTCTGTCTTCACATGAATTTAGCTTACCATGTTATATGTCTTGTTAATTGCAGAAAGATGGCTCTCCCTGGCTAAGAGGGAGGGGAAAGCCCTGTTCCTACAGGCACAAACACAGCACAGCATACCTTGCTCCATCAGCTTCAAACCTTTCCAACGCCACCCCAACTCCTGCCACTGCCACTTGACATTTCTATCTTCCACCTTGCACCAAACCCCAAACCCTGGTCTCCCTACAGCCTCAGCAGCACCGTCCCTCTGCGGAATGCCTTGCAATTCTTCTAAGTTACCCCAAGAACTTGTACAAACATCGCAGCACCGTGGTCTGAAACCAGCTAGCAGAATTTCTGCTTTCATCCCTGATTTCTGTTTTCTCCATCTGTTTCTATGTACATAACCTCTACTCCAAGAACTGACTAAAAAAAGCTGAAACTGAGAGTGAGTTACAGCGCAGAACAAATGCCATAAACTATAAACAAACAGCAAACACACAGCAAATCGCTCCAAATCTGCTCGTCACACCTCCCTCATCTGGCTATAAATCTGTTCCTGCCAGTACTTACACTTAAACTCAGGCACTCAGCCAAGACCAGGATGTCACCTCAGCTATTCAGACGCAACGCATCTCCACAAGGCACCAGAAAGCATCACACTGCAAGAGCAACGCTCAGCAGAACCTAACAAGAGCTGCAACATCTGATCTCACATCTCACAGTGTTTTCACCCAGATGTGACACATTCCCATCATTTTCCACTCCTACACAAATATTTTGTTGCTTTTTCGTAATAAAAAGCAAATGTTTATCGTTTTTAACAAGGCAAAGGTCACATCTTTTACATTATTTCCATTTGAATGATAACAAAGCTTACTGTTTAATAGGCTACAGCGCTTTAAAATGATTGCTTCGCTACAAGTTTGGCATATGGTTTGTCTTAGTTTCAGCTGGGATGGAACTGTTTTCTTCAGAGTTCCTACTATGATGCTATGTTTTGGTTTTAGGAGAAAAATGATGCTGATAACACACCAATGTTCATAGCTGCTGCTAAGCAGGGCTGTACAGAGCAACGGCCATTGGAAGCGAAGGGCCCAAAGAGCTGGGAGAAGGGGAAAAAATTGGGAGAGCTGACTGAAACTGGCCAAAGGTGTATTCCATCCCATGACATCAAGGAGAAGGAGTTTTGAAAGGGGTGGGAGCTCATCTCACTTGCTTCTGCTGATGGGGGACCAGCTGGGCACAACTGCTTGCGTATCACTTGTTATATACATTTAAATCTATTTGTCATAATTATCATCCTTTTCTTTATCTTAGTAAATAGCTTTATCTCAATCCACAAATTCTACTTTGCTGTTCTCCATTCTCTCCCCATCCCATGGGGAAAAGGGGGGAGTGAGCAAATGATCACATGGCGCTCAGTCACCTGTCAGGTGACACCACAACAACGTGAATTCTGTCAATTAAATAAAAGAATATCAATGGCTGTGACAGAAAGAATTCTTGGGCGAGGATGTAATTACCTATAAGCACAAGAACTACAATTGACCTCCATTTCTCCCTCAGAAACTTCCGCCAAGCCACAACAATTTGGGAAGAGACTAAAAGCAACCAGATAAGGAGCCTGTAAAATACGAACATCTCAAATCAGAGGAATTTCCTTTATTTATACATTTTTTCTCTGTGCTGCTTATCCCTTCTTGGACTGCTTAGTCTACAGCCTTCTGATTGATTTCCTTTGGTGGGCTCAGCAGGGATGTGAGTTTTTGGAAACAACAGAGTTAACTGTGGAAAGTCCTGGATGTGCAGTGACTTCTGAATGTAGAAACAGCTAATGGAAAAATTCCCTGTGAGTGAAGTGGGATGCAGCTTACAGTAGTGCTCTGGAGCCATATTCCTCTTAAAAAAGAATATGCAATGCATGCCTCAGAACTGAAGTTGTTCTATGAGGTGATTTCATATAAAGAAGCGGCAGCTTGCACAGCATCCTCAAGAGAAAAAGAATCTCACCACAGAGTAACGAGGAGACACGTCTGGTGCTTGGCTGGTTCCTACCTGAGGTCTGGAAGAAAGTGTGTTTAGTTCACTTCCAAACTTCATTCATTTGGCAGAAGAATCTGTGGTCTGATTTCACACCGCAGTACCTTTGAATGTGTTTTCTTCTCATTGCAAAGCTCTGCTCCTTGCACTAGGAGCCCTCTGGCACACCTTGCTTGGTTTTCTCTTACTCTGACATTCACATATTCACATTCCAGCAGACCACACTACAACAGGTCAACCCTGATAACTGAGGGCTAGGGGCATTCCTCACCTGTGCAGGAGAGACAGAAAGGAATGCTCCCTCGCCAGGGCTTCTGCTGCTGGGATCAAAATGGGACCTCACATCCAACAAGGTGAAGAAGTGGCACCACAGCCTGATGGCAGAAGCCCCAGGGAAAGCTAGGGGGCATGGGCAGCAATTATGGGGCACAAGCTGGGAGAGGGCAGGAAGGCACAGCCCATGCAGGTGGGGACGCAGCCCAAGGGGAGGGTTGCACCCCATGCTGCACGATGCTCAGAAGAGGTGGAGCAAATCCCATTCTGTGGAGCGCACAATCCAAAGAGGAGAGGGGGAGGAGAGGATATCCCACGGGTGGAAGGGCCAAGACCCAAAGGGAGAGGGAGTCACGTCCTATGCTGGAGGTGCATGATTCAAGGGGGGGGTTCACATTCCATGTTCAGAAGGGGCAAGATCCAAAACAAGAGAAATCACATCCCATGCCGGGGGTTCACAATCTGGGGTTATGGGGATCACATCCCATGCAGGGGGCGCACAATTGAGGGTTGGGGGATCACATCCCATGCTGGGGGTGCACGATACAAGGGGGATAGCTCACATCCCAGCGTGGAGGTGGGCTGTACAAACCAGAGCGGGGCCCCACACCGAGGGCAGACCCCCGCCCAGGAGGCGTGGTCGCACAGACCCCGCCTCCAAAGCAAAAAGGGGCGTGGCCCAACCTGCCCGCAACTGGGGTCTCTCGGGAGGGGGCGTGGCCTCCGCGGAGAGGGCGTGGCCTCGGCCGCCATTAGGGGGGCGTGGTCCCCTCCCCCTCCTCGCCGGCGGAGGCGCGCGCGGCGGGCGGTGCGTGCGGGGAGGGGGGGGCGGCGCCCCGTTCCCTGCCCCCGACGCGGCCTCCTCCCCCAGCGCCCGCCCGTGCCGCCTCAACGCGGGAAAAGCCGCCGTCCCCTCCCCGCGCCGCGCCCTCGGGAGCACCTACCCGACGCCATGGCCGCTGCCGGGCGTTGCGCTGCGGGACGGGAGCGAGCGGCGGGAGCGAGCAACGAAGTTAGCCGGGACCGAGCGCAGCGCCGGCCGCGCGCACAGTGAGGCACCCGCAGCTCGCGCAGACTGCGGGGCCCGGCAGCCAATCAGCGAGCGCGGCGCGTTCCATTCGCGCGGCGGTGCGGGGGGGGGAGCGGGGAGCGGGGAGCGGGGCGGGGGCGGTACCAACGTGTGGGGGGGTGCAGGGGGAGCCGCGCTGGGATCCGTGAGCGGCGGGGGGGAGCAGGGCGCGCTTGGACGGCACCACTTTGTGGCGGCGGGGGGAGACCGAGGGACTTTGGGAGCGGCCGGATCCCAGCCGAAGAGGCAGGGCTGTCGGTGTGTTTCAGGTAATAGGGTTTCCTAAAGGAAAGCCATATGGGCGGAGCGCACAGTGTTCTAGAAAGCCACGTGTTGATTCGGGGAGCAGCTTTCTGAGGGAAGAGATTGTGATCTGGGGGCTTATCAGGCAGGAGAGAAAATGAGGCTTCAGAAATGAGGTTTCATCAGGGATGAACAGAAATTAAAGCAATTTGATTGCAGCGAAATGGATTGATGGCTGAGTTGGGCTGTTTCTAAATCCCACTGTCGTGGCCTGAAGTTTCTGCAAAGCGAGTTGTGACTGGAATTATTAATTTAAAAAAAGAGTTGCTCTGTGTAGAGCCTTTGAATCTCCAGTTCCAAAGCAATTGAAGTATTTGTATTGTTGGATGCCTGAAGGCGTTCAAGAGCAGCTTGGATGGAGCCCTGGGCACCCTGGGCTAATAGCAGATCTGGCTCCGTGATGGTGGCCCTGCCTGTGGCAGGGGGTTGGAATTGATGATCCTTGGTATCCCTTCCAACCCAAGCCATCCTATCATTCTATGATCAGTGGAAAATGGCACTGAGACAATAAGTTACTGTTTTTATTGCCTAGTGGGAGGTCGGGGGTTCCTGACAGCTCACAGCAGGCTCAGAGGGAAAGCTCCTGCACTGTGCTCTTTCTTTGCTCCCCCCAAAATGCTGGAGTTGGGAAAAGAGATTGGCCCTTGGTCCCTGAGCATTCCCCTCATCCGACAGCTCCCAACAGTATGAAACTTTATGAGATGGCAATGTCCCCTGCCGACCAAAATAGAAAAATAAAAAAAAAAAAGTATGAAAGGTTAAAAAAAAAAAAAGACAGTCGCCATGGTAACGGGGTACCGCAGCGGCTCGCGTCGCCATGGCAGCGGAGAAGGCCTTCCGGCGGCGACCGGAAGTAGGGCGGCACGCGGCAGCATGGCGGCGGGGTGCGGCCGCCCTCTGGCTGGCGGCGCTCTCACGTTGTTGCTGTCGCTTGGCGCCTCCGGGCCCAGCCTGCTGCGGGGTTCCCTCGCCGCCCACCCCGGTGCCTTGCGGCCCGCCGCCCTGCGAGCCGGGGAAGGTGAGCGGTGCCTACGCCCAGCCCGTGTGCCCTTCCTCCGCGGTGCCTTTTGCCGTGCCGTGCCGCCGGGCCCTCACAGCACCCCAGGGCACCTCTCCAGTTCCCTGTGCTTCCCTATGTCTGTGGGCGTAGTGCATAGTGGGGGCACGCTGCTAAGAGCTTGGCTGGTTGCTCTCTTCTCACCCTGTGCTATTTCCTGAAGGAGCTGATCATTAATTCCTCATCTTGCTGCAGTGTTCAAGCGGTGTGGTGTGCTGAATTGATGGTGAAATCACTGCCTGTCTGGGGCTGTCAGGTTATGCTAAATGATGCTCTCTCCTGTATTTATCCTGTAGTTGGAAGGAGGGCTTTGGGAGCTTCTTGGCATGCCCAGAACTGCTAACCAGAGGGCCTCAGGGTGTTGCTACTAGCTGATAATCTCCAAATGTTTTTACTTATGAGAGAAATCTCTCAGCTGGCTGTTTAAGAAGTATTTTCTTATTTTTACTGCAGTAGCTAAAGCAAGAGAGCAAAGTCAGAGTTAAACTGTAGCAGTCATTTTTATGCCTTCTGCCTTCTAACGAGGCTGATATTTACTATAGAAGCTATTGCTTTTTTCCAGGCACCATCCCAGCAAGCAGCAAGTCAGTCCATCTGCCTACAGTACCCAAGATAGCTCTTGTTTTAGCCGTCTTTGATTCCTTACTCGTAGTTTTAAAGGCCTCAAGTTCCCTCTCTTCTGCAACAGGATAGATTAAAAAAAAGGTTGATTAATCTTGTAATCTGTCTCCCTCTGCTTAAACTTGTAATTGTAGCGGGTTAGGACAAATTCATTGCTGTCTCTGCCTTTCTGACACACTGGCATGCTCAGTTCACAGGCTGGTTACCTACATCTTTGTCTATGAAGACCTGATATCCTTGACCTGTGGTGCCATTGTCATCTGGTATTTTGCTGGCAGCTTTGAGAAGAACGTTGGCACTGTGAAGCACTGCTTCCTCACCATTGTGTTTGCCATCCTGACCGGCCTCCTGTACCTCTTACTTGAAACTGTTGTCTCGAGGGTGTCAGAAGTGGAAGATGCCAAAGGATTCATGCCTTTAGCTTTTGCTACACTGAGTGTCTCCACCACCCGCTCGCGAATGAAGCGGGCTCTCTTCTTTGGATTTAGAGTTCCAGTGATGCTGGTGCCGTGGTTTCTGCTCTTTGTGGTGTGGTTTATCCCCCACTCTTCTCTCCTGAGCAACCTGTGTGGGCTCCTAGTTGGGAAAGCCTGTATCCTTTCTGAACATGAACAGCCCTAAATCAGTGTAAGATTGTTGCTTCATGAAGAGAGAGGGTGGTGCAGTTCTTGTGGTCAAGATGCATCGACTTTATGATATTTCCTGGGCTCTTTTTCTCATCACACCCAGTTCTGCATTTCTTTCTCATCCCATGCTTCTGCTGTGGCTTTAAGGTATGCAGAGAAGATGGAGATGAGAAGGCTGATGGTCTGAAAGGGCGACACTAACTAGAACCGGATGAATTCTCCAGGGAAACTAGTTTGTGGCGTGGAAGAGATGGTGTGTTGCAGTGCAAGAAATGAGAGCATTTTGTCAGTGATCCTCCTTAACGTGCTGCTGACTTCAGATGGTCTTGGCTACTGTTTCTGCTTGGATATTTCAGAGTCCGTGGCCTCTAAGCTGGATCAGAGGTTTCCTTTCAGTGTGCTAAAGAGAATACCAGGGCTAAAATACATCCCGGGGTCCTCAGCTGAGAGAAGAGCCACTGAGAGCAGCAAGTAAGTACTGGAGCTCCTATGAAATATCTTGTGGGAGATTTTTGAGGCATGAGGAGGCATTAAATCACCTTTAAAATCTTTATTGTGCTGGTCATGTTCCCATATGGGATGTTAAGAGCAGGAATGTGGGACGTCGGTGTTGCCGTGGTATTGCTGTGATACATCATCACACATGAACTCAGTTTGCTCTTTCACTGGAAACTGAGTTGAGGTGAAACTCATTTGCTGCAAGGCTGCTGTGTACACATGTTAAATGTATTGCAGCTCCACTGACATGAAAGCTACGTTGTGTAGTTCTGTCGTAACAGGAATTCTGGTGCTTGTTTCTGGCTGAACTGCTCTCTGGGATGTGGTCTTTGTCAGTCTTTGCACAGCTTCACCTCCCAGGAACGTTGGGATGTTTGTCATATCCAAACCTGTGTAGGAGCAGCACATTATAAATTGAAGATATCACACAGGAGACCTTTCAATGCATGTTTTCTGTATTGGGGCAAAGTTGATTTAATGAAAAGGAACCATGGCACTGGAGTTGACATTCAGGAATGATTATGCCACAAGCAATGAGAACTCATGCAAACTCTAAAACAACTCAGAAGTTGAGGTCAAATTTTTCCCTACCCTGAGATGTCATTTCAGTTTCACAGAGACAGCGATGGTTTTCTGCTACAGGTTAAGCTGCATGTTTTATTGAAGCCATCAGCTTATTGTAAAGCATTCTTTGAACTGGAAGCATTTCCAGGTGTTTACATTTCCCCTCACCTGAGGGGAAACCATGAAACAAAACCTTGCTGGTAGGAAGAATGTGCCCAGATGCAACCAAACTCTGCAGGAGTGCTTGCAGGGGAAGCCAGGCAAATCTGGGAACATGTTGACTCTCCCTGTTTTAGTACTGCTTTAGGGAGGAGGGAATTTCTCACCATATGCTGAGCCTGTGTCTACCTCAGCCTAAAGCTTCTGCTGCTGTGCACAGCTCTGCCTTAACTTGCTTTCTTTAGGTGAGATGACACAGACTGTTCTGGCTCAAAGGTATTTGCATAAACGTTTGATTATCAAGCAGGGTGTGGGAAGGTGTTTCTTGGATGTTTCCATTTCTGCAGCTGAATCTGTATGTCTTTGTGTCTGAAGCACAAGTTCTATACTTGTTTCTGGGGCTTAATTACTATTTTGATTCTTATACCTAAATATGAGCTCTATATGTGTGTAGGTTTGGTTTTCTTCTTTTTTTTTTGTTTGTTTGTTTGGTTTTGGTTTTTTGTTTTTTTTTTTAATTAATAAGACTTCAGACACCAACTTCCCATCAGGCAGGAGGCATTTCTGGGAGGTTTGCTCTTTTCCATCAGGCTTATGGCCACAAATGAGGTACAGGGGAAATAAACTCAAGTCCCCAAACCCCAGCATGAGCCAGTTTCTCATTTTTCCTGGTACTCCCGTGATCTTTGTGAATATTGTCTTGATTCTCTGCACTCATTTAGTGATGTACATGGGCTGAGCAGTGCTCTGGAAGTTACCAAGACTTTGGCTTCTGGGTGAGGTTTTCACTTGGTGTGTTTTGGTGGGATGAGACATGCCTTCTGCTGGCAAGGGCTGTTTATGGACCTTGCTTCTGAATGATTCATTTTATTTGCAACTCTCTCTCCTCCTTCTCTTTTGCCCTCTACCCTGAGCTGCTACTTCTACTAAAGGCCTTCTTGATAACTAACACTTGGCAGCTGTGACTTCTCCTGATTAATAACTTAGGTTCAATGGAAGGCAGAGAGGATGTCTGTGGAAATTGTAAAAGCGTTCTGTGGTTTGACTGGCAAGTTTCTCGCATGAAGAGACTCCAGGCTAAAACCCTCCTCGTTCCGTGGGTGTAGAATTAGAGTGGGTCTGGTGTAAGCATATCTGTCCTGGGTAATTAGTAAACCTATTTTTACTCAAATGCTACTTGTAATAGAGAATCTCTGATGAATTGCTGTGACCTTTCTGAGCACCGGTCAGGAGGAAATCAACACCCAGGGCACTTCCAGCACTAATTAGGCAGTGACAGTTTTGAACACAGTATAGCCTTCTGTTTTCTTCTGTCCAGGATTACCCCGCTGCCTGGCACATATCCCACTCAAAGCTACTACTGCTCTTCACCTTCGACTCTTCCAGCCTCCCCGATGCAGCACCCTGGTGTTCAGAGCCAGGGATTTCAGGACAGCTGCACGCCAGGATTTGGCCATGCTTTGGGACACGTGGGACCTCAGCACAGCTATGCAAGATGCAGCCTTGTTTCTTCCCCCTACCAAGCCAGAGGTGCCTCTGCTGAGGGCTACAATCAGTCCCACACTGGATCCTCGCCTGGACAGTGCTGCCAGACAAGCAAGTTCTCTGTGCCACAGCGCGTGTGTCTGACTGGTCCCCAGTCACCTGTTGGCCTGGACCTCCTGGCTGGGGCTCAGCAAGCATCAGGGGATCCAGCAGCCTCAGCAGCTCCTGTTCCAGCTGAATTTTCCAAAGTTCAGGTGTACTGATCCTCCAGAAAGCAGCAGGACTTGCAGCAGCAGGGAAGACGATGTGATGCTCACGGAGCAGCAATTGCTGGCACTGTTGCTGTCTCTGAGGTGACTACCTAAATGGATTACTTTAATTCTATTTCCTTTTAATTTTGATACTACTTTTAGCATTGTGGAGGGAAGGAGACTGGATTGCCTCTCCACATTTCTAATTCTAGTGAATACCTTTCTCATTGTAGTGTTTAGCAGCCTTCTTCCTCCACACAATACCTACAGTTTCAGAGCCTCTGTCCTCCAGTTCAAGGTAAGATGGAAGCTAATAGTCAAAACACTGGACTAATCTGGGATTGAGCCATGCTGCAGAGATAAGGATACATCCCGTCTACATCAAGGCTCTTAGCTTCCTATCTTGTTTACATGTGTGATGTAGTTAGGGCACAGAAGAAGGTGGAAGCATGGAAGCCTTAGTTTATAAGTTAACATCTGAGTGAAGAAGTCTTTCAGTAGTGATTTCTCCACTGAGGGTACGCATTGAAGGGGGCTTATTTAGGCAGGGCTGGGACAAGGAGAACAGAATGAAGAGCACCTTTTTCTGTCCCCCAAAACCCTCAAAAAACATCTCTTAAATACTGAAGTGCAGTCTGTGCACTCAACAACACACTGTTATTTCTGATAGCTCCGCACTAGCTCAGCCTTCATAGCACTAATAATCATTTGAGTTGGAAGGGATCCTTAAAGATCATGCAGTCCAATTCTCCTGCAATGAACAGGGTCATATACAGGTAGGTCACCCCTGCACTTGTCAACAAGGCAGCCTTGAATGCATAAGAAGCAGTGGAAGAGTCTTTAGTAAGGGATTGTGGCCATTTGTGCAGCAAATATGCATAAAGCTGAGAGGGACTTTAAAACTGGGTTATAAGAATTACCTGGAACGTAGCTTTCCCATTGGGGATGTTCACATTTTTATCTTTTGTTGTGTCACCCACCAATATTGGCAAAATCACTCTGGGTTTTCTTTAGAGGTGGTGGAAATGTATATGGGAAAGAGGAGTTTTCAGCATGGGATTCAGAGCAGAGTGTACCTTTTGGTGGCTGTGGTAGTAGCACAAGTGTTTATTTTAGGTGGTAGCACTTGGAGAGCCAGAGCTTTATTTCCCACTTTGTGGTGGCTTTACTGTGCCATGTCTAGGAGGAATCTCCTGTTTCTGTGATTGTGAATCAAGCAGGATCTCAGCTACTGCAGTTGATTCATTACTTAAAGTTTTCTTCCCTTCCTCCCCCGCCCCCCCCCCCCCAAAAAAAAAAAAGTTATGTGTAACACAGAGAGACATTTCTGCCCTTGGAAATGTTTTGAACATACCTAGCCTGTCCCCTACAATAGCCACAGGGCTCTTCCTGTGTATCAGGGAACCAGGGTTGGAAACAGCATTGCTGATGCATGAGCCAAAGCATGTGCATGCCTCTCTTTCACCTTTCCCCCTCTTCAGTGTCTGAAGAAGCCACGTGTTGCTGTACAGCCACTTCTCCAGCAGCTCTTCTGGGAAAACTGCCACAGGTATGTGTGGCTTCACAGGGACTTGCTTTGGGGGAAGGCCAAGGAGAAGGGAGAGGGCTTGAACCTCAGATTCACGACAGTAAGAAGCTGCTTGAAAAGACAGAGGTGGGGCAGAGGCTTTCAGAAGGAAGATGCAATAATTTGGGAACAGGCTTGTGGTGGGATGCCTGGAGTTGGTGACCAGCTCCATCCCACTCCTGATTGTTTCACCCCTCCCTGGGTCGACAAATGGACTTGGTTTCACAGTCTCATTTTTCCTGAGCTGCTAACAAGAATTTCATTGTTAAGTTTTGTGTGCAGCACAAACAGGATGAGGCTCTTGTTTGGAAGTTAAAAGGATGTTTTCAATACCAGGAAAGGACTGCTAGAGATAATCATTGAAATGTTGATGTTCCACTCTGGTGCCTTGATTTTCCTCCTCGTGAGATCTACATAAGATGAGATCTTGTGAATTTTATCACTGTGCAGAAAATACACTAGAGTGATATGAGGGCTGTTTGCAATGGTAAATGTTGTGTATAATCAAACTGAAAGCTTGAAATACAATCTAGAAGACAAACTGCCACATGTCCTGGTTTGCTGTCAAGTGGGGAGAGCCTCTGGATGGTAGTCTGAGTCCCATGGGGACAGCTGGGTGCAGTCTGCATGATAGGCTGGGGGCAGAGGACACACGTTGGAGAAGAGTAGCACTGCACATTGGAAAATGCTTGCGGGTGTGGAAGCTGGTTATTTTTATTTGCTGACTTTTAACAGTTGATCTGTTTCAACTCTTACCAGTTGCAGAACCATCAAAAGGATGGCATGGCTTCCAGTGAGTAGTTTCATGGCATGCATTAAGTGGTAAGAAGTAAATGTTGGCTTCTGAGAGTCACTGCTTTGTCACTGCAAGCAGCAAGAACAGCCCTGACTGATAGGTGAGGGGAGAAGGCAGAGGGTCTCCTTACAGGAATGAAGGTGGGCTCCTGCCCATGCAGGAGGCAGCAGGGACCAGCCCTTAACCCCTCTGTGCTGGGTGCAGGTGCCCACTGCAGCTCTGTGGGAGGGACATCCTAGAAGAATGGGGGCAAAACCATGATTTGAGTTTTTTTTCCTTCTGGCTCCAGCTCTGCTGTCAGCTTCCTGAAGATCTTGGCATGTCACTTGGTCTCTGATCACTGCAACTACCACTGTGACCCTGGGGCTGCTCTGAGTCCAACTGTGCAACTGCCCTGTGCCCACATGGCACTTGAAATGTTCAGTGGCCTTCAGACAGACATTTTGAATGACACGGATGATTTCTAACAGTCTGTTCCCTGCCTTTCCTGAGGGCAGTTGTGACAGTTAAACATTGTTGTATAAATCAGAGGAGGACCTGCTGCTTTTCCAGCAGTGGAGTTCAACCAAGCCCCAGTTCCTTAGGGCTGGCAGTGGGTTCAAAGGGGAATGGAGAGAGGGACAGGATGGGATGTGCAATTGTGGCTGAAGGCTGAAAGAAGGAATTGAAACTCGGGAGAGGGACGCAGAAATCATCTGTTCATCCGGCCTTGGCATGTATCTGAGCTCACAGCAATGCTATGGATCACAAATTGCAGTACCAGCTCCCTTCCTTGGAGGGGAGATAAAGAATTGAAGTTATTCTTAAAAAAGAAAGGGGAGAAAAAATAGTGACAAAAAAAAAAAATCAATAAAACTACAGGCTGTCCTAGAGAACATACTGTCTCCAAAGGTTTGTTCTTCTGTACCTCCAGTGCATTCCCAGTACAGCTGGCACTTCTTCAAAGATCAGGATTGATTCTCTCCTGGAAGCAGGGCACAAAGTGACTCCGGGCTGAAAGGGCACAAGCCAGCTAAGCTGGTGATATCACAGTCACCATGCTAATGGGTCAATATTCCTCTTATTTCTGTGCTTCCCAGTTGCTTATTTCTCTCTGGCAAAGCCAACGTGTGCAGTTATCCAGGCCTGGGTGACCACGCTCGCTGTGCCCACGTATGCTCTCTGCTCAGCTGGAAACAGGCTTGTCAGGTCAGTGCCTCTCCCTGCACCTCTTCTGACCCCTCTGGTGCCCCCTGCTCACCCACATGGACTTTGTGCCTTCTCCGTGGGTGTTATTGACTCTGGTGTGAGTGTCAACGTGGTGATAGCAGCGGGACCATGGACTCGATGTGCCTGCACTGTGCTGCCCGCACCTCTTGCAGCCAGGAGGAGGTGGGCAGTGCCAGCTGGGCTTTGCAGAGGAGAGAGGCTGAACGTCATGCCCTAACCTTTGGCTGGTTCATGGGTGCTATGGGGTGTGAAAGGCACCACCGTGACCGCTGTTGTCATGCTCCAGTGGGGGTTCTTTGTGCATTGCAGAAGCAAAGTCCCCCCCAGGACTCCTCTGTGCCTCTCATGCATCCTTGCATTGGGGCCTTCAGCCCAGCAGTGTTTGTGGCTGTGGTGCAGCTTTACAAAAAGAGCAGAGCTGCAGTGGTGCTACAGCCAGATCTTGGGGGTCAGGTTGTGAAATCTCTCCTGCCAGGGACGTTTCTTGTGCAATGCTGCTGCCAGCAGCATGGGCTTTAGCAGAGGGCTAAAAGCATTGTTTGAGGTTAAATTGCACGTTAAATCTGTGCACCCATATCTGCTTGTCTATGCATCTGTGTGTCTGCCTGTGCGCCTGCTTATATGCCTGTGTATGCCTGCGTATCTCTGTATGTCTGTATATCTTCCCGTGCGTCCGTGTATCTATGTGCCTGTTTATGTGCCTGTATGCATCTCTGTATCCCCATCCCTATGTATGTCTATCTGTGTCTCTATAACCGTGTGTCAGCGTCCCTATATCCATGGCTTTATGGCCGTATACCTACATGTCCATCTGTCTGCATGTCTGTACCTCTGTCGCTGAGCAGCGTGGCGTGGCTGCCGCGCCCACCGTCATCCTTCCTCCGACCTCGGACCACCCCGTGACCTTTGAGCCGCGCACCCTCCCCGCTGCTCTGTCCCTTTAAGGCTTCCCCAGCAAGAGGCGCGCTGGGGCCGTACCAACCTCGAGGGGAGGCGGGGGGAGGCGGTGAGGGGTGTCCGCGCAGCCCGCTCGCAGCCCATTGGCGGGAGGCGGGGGCGGCTCACGGCTCTCCCCGCTCTGTGCGCACAGTGGTGCGCGCCGCCCTACGTGCCGGCCGCGCCGGGCTGCGGGCACCGCCAGCGTCAGACGGCACGGGAGCGGGGCGGGTGAGGGCACGGCGGGGCGGGCGGCGTGCCGAGATTGGGGAGAGAGAAGGGGGCTGTTTGGGCGCGGGGGGTCGGAGGTGAGCGGGGCCCGGTTACGGGATGGCTGAGGTGAACGGGGCCATGGTGCGGGGGGGCCGGGGGAAGTGAGGCCCTGCGATGGGGGGCTGCGTTGTGATCCTGGGTCCCGCCGAGAGCGCTGCTGCTTTTCTGTCTGTGGCTGCCGTAGGGCCATATGGGATGGGTGTAAACTAAACGAGGGGGGTTAGGTTGGGCGCTGAGGGGCATTCTTTACTCAGATGGCGGTGAGGCAGCCCAGAGAGCTGCGCCCAGCCCGGTCCGATGGGGACACCCAGAACACAGCAGGGCTGCGAGGGCCGTGACAATCCAACCGGTGCCAGGCTGCTGAACTGTGCTGGGGGTGAAGTTATCCCCTAGGGAACGTGCTGACAGAAGGAAATAATGGGAAGTCTTGTGTCTGGGGTTGTTAAAGCAGGAGGGGGTGAAGACGCCTGGTTCTGGTGTTCGTTGGGCATCAGCCGTCAAACTGGAGGTGGTTCTTAGCAGGTCTCCTTGCTTGTTGGAGTGTGCTTTGGTCCCTGGGTTTGGTGTGGGTTAACCTTCAGGGCATAAAGGCAAATGATAACGCTTGGTGGAATGCATGAAGAAGGGTTACTTAGTTCTGCTTAGTCTGAATGAATCTGGGAAACTGAAACAGGTTTTGGCTTTTACAGCTGTTTCTGAGAAGCAGTAGCATCCTGTTGAGAAATCAGAAGAGCACAAAGGTGGATCAGGTCTCTGCTTCTAAATTTGGAAAGTAAAACGGTGCTCATATCGATGAAGGCATCTTCCCTTTGCAGTGCTTTAGGCTTTGTGTGGCCTACAGTGAGGAGCAGCGCGTGCATCTTTTGCTAATTAGAAAGGAGGGTGCTGTCATTTACTTTTCCTGTAGATCTTTCATCTACTCATCAACTTTGATGAGCTGTGCACACACAAAGCACACTTGTGGGTGAGTCTGCTGCAAGTGAGGAAACTGGTGTTTGCTGGGCAAGGGCTGGTGAGTTGGGCTGCTCCTGGAGAACCTAGTGTTGTCTCAGTGCGTGTTCTGTTGGGTTGATTGCTGTGAATCCAGGTGTGCACAGTGTAGAGCCCCCAGGTTTGGGGCTGTGCTGAAGGAGTCCTGTGTGTTGCACGTGGATGTGAAAGTGCAGAAAGAGGTGTTTGCAAAACGCTTTCTCGTGATGGTGGGGAAGACAGGGAGGAAACCAACACTGTAGGAAAAATGGTGGCAACTGAACACTTTCACTTACTCTCCAAGGCTTTTACATTGAATGAGTAAGGAGAAGAGTGGGCAGAAAGGAGGAGCTAGTGCCACACATCTGGCTTAACACTGTTAATTAGAGTCCTGCCCTAACTGACAGGAAAATCTCTTGTTATGTCATCACTTTGCAGTTGCCTCCTTTTCAATCAATAATTGCTGGGGTGGTGCCTAGTCTGAGTTGAGCAAGGAGGTGGTTTCTACAACTTTTATTTTTCTTTCTTGCAGGCAGCTCGACAGGATTGTGTGACCACACTCCTCATCTTGTCTTGAGGGAAGTGTTCCCTGCTGCTTGCTGCCCTTCGTGTTGGAGCTCGTGGGTCCATCAGTGTTTGCTTGCAGAACAGCAGGTGCAAGGTAATCTGTTCCTTTTGAGTGTCACAGGTGGAGTATCTGTGGACGCACTGGGGTTTGGAACGGATGGCTGGCAGCAGGAGCTGACAGGCTGGAAGCTGGGGAGTGATGATTTCTTTACGCAGTTCACCTGCAATAAAAGCAACACATGGAGCCGCACGTGGACTGAAATCCCCTTTGATCTTTACTCTCATGTTTAGCTGTTGAGACACAGCAGAGATAATGTTTTCTCTGTCCTGAAGGACTGGGCAAGATTTCCCCGCTCAGATCTGTGCTCTGACCATCTCCTCCCCATCTCTCTTACATAAAAGAAAACGATTTGGCAGTTACCTCTGCTAACACTGAACTTTGTTCTGTTGCCTGACATGAGCTCTCCTACCTTTAAAAATGCAATTCTTAGAACTTACATAAGTTGCTTTCCCAGTGTGATCATTTGATCCAAGTGTCTGTATACATGCTATTGTTGAGTGAGTCATGAGCACCATAGAGGCTGGTGCACGCCTGCCAAGAGTGTTTTTTGTGGAGTTTGAAATTTCATATAACAGGACAAATAATTACAGGCTGCTCATAATCTCTTGCTGCTTCTCTCCAATTACAAGCTGTTTGTTATCTCTTTCTGCAGTTCAAGTCAATTACGTGCTACTTGTCATTTACAGAGTCCATAAAGAGTGGAAGAGGAGTGCTCCTATCTCTGGCTTTTCTAAGGCCACAAGTCCAAAGGGTAGCTGAATGTGATATACTGTGGCAGACTATTGTAGCATTCCTGCTTGCTATTGGCCGCTTTTGTGCCTCTAGTTATTACTTTGCAAAGAGTAAAGTAGAATTACTGATTAATTTTCCTTTCCATTATTCCTGAACTAGGAGTTGAGTAGGTTCAGAGTTCAAGCTCGGGTTGGATTTTTCTCCTTGGAAAATCTGGCTCTGTCAATACATGTGCAGATCTTCTGTGGAAGTTACCTGCTTGGGGTGTTTTTAGATCAATCTTTGTGGCACTGGCAAGTACACTGGATGTTGCTGCACAGTTATTTGTGGAATGTATCTACTGACTTGCTTTCGCAGGTCATTGCTAGCATCTCTTGATTCTAACTAACTTGAAGCTTTGGAGGAGCAAGCTGATAAAATGCCTGCAAGGGTTGTGCAAGCTGTGGTTGTGTAACAGGGCTGTGTGCATACATACTTGAGGTAAGAGGAGCAGCTATTCTGACAAAGGGGAAAAAAAACTGCGTGTCAAGTATCTTCTGTTTATGTTGACCATACTAGAATGGGAGCGTGGAGTTGGAATGTTGTGAGTTTTATAACTTGAGTGCAACCATTCAGCCTGTGGCCCTACTTACTCCCGGCCTGTCTTGTCTGCTGTTCTGTGGTCTGATGTCCCTTTCTGGCATGAGGATGTCAGCTTTGGGTTACAGAGCTGATGTTCTGGGGTCTGCTGGCACTGCCTGCCTGCACGTGGTCCTGTGTGTCTGCAGGGAACAGAGCTCAGGAGTTGCCTGTGTTTCTCAGGTGTTCAGCTTGGAGTGCCTCACCCACAGAGACAAGGATGTTCACTGGGGGAGTGTGCACTCTCCTGGATCAGCCAGATGTACAGTCTGCTTCTGGGGCCTGGGAGACAGCTTTCACAGAGAGTTTCCACGTGGTTGACAGCAACGTGGCCACATGCAAGGATCATGTGGTAACACCTCCTGCCCTTACATCAATACAGAATGCAGGTGCAAAATATTTGAAATGCTTCCACATCCTCTATGGAAAGCTACCTTACAAGTACAAGGTGTTGTGGTTCTGCACAAATACCACAGGGTTTTCTTTAAGAAAATGAATAACTCCCCCCAAAA